GATTTTTTTTTTTTTTTTTTTCTCATGTAGGCCTGAAACTTGCTATTATAGACCAGGCTGGTCTGGAACTCACAGAGCTCCACCTGCCTCTGCCCCTCCAGTGCCAAGTACTGCCATACCCAGTTTCATAGAAGATTTTCAGATACATTTTTTGACAGAAGCCCACCCTGAGAGTAGTCAGTATAGGCCAGAGATGACTTTTCCCAAACAGTAGGAAATAGTGATCTGTTACTTGGAATGATAGTAATATCAGGTCTCTAGCTATGCCTCAGAACCTTTGTTAAAGCACAGTGTACATGTAGGTGGATTTGTTGGGGCTCTTACCATTGAACCACCATGAATCAGCCTGGGGCTCTGGGGCACTGATCTCTGATCTTGGGAGTAGGAACAATTCCTAGGCCATTTCCCCCTTGCTGATAAGGACCAAGAACCATTGTAGCTAATCAAGGCTACTGAGTGAGAACTATGTGCCAGGCACTGTGCTTGAATCTCTTGCACTCTGATTTAATTGTTCTCCTCCAGGAGGTAGTGGGTGCTAGTGTTATCTCCTTTGAGGCATTTTGCCCATCCATCAGTTATACAACTAGTGGGAAGAATCCAAGAATCCAGTCTGAATCCAGGTTTACCTGCCTCTAGGTCCCTTGCTATGTAGTTCAGGCTGGCCTTGGCCTTCCAAATGCTGGATTTGCAGCATGTACCAGCACACTCAGCTGGTTGCAGAGTCTGAATGGACAAGTGAGGGGTTGGTGAAGGGAGGTGAGAAGGTTGTACCAGACTGGGGGAATGGCCACAAAACCATGGAAGTCTTAATATAAGTGTGGTGTGGTGGGAACTACACAGAGTTTTGTTCAAGTCACCTCGAAAGCAGCAGGATTTCGTTTTCTGTGACCAATGAAAAGACCTACAGTGTGGTGTGGATTGTGTGCCAGCCCTGTGGGAACTCGTCTCATTCAATCCTCTGTGCCCTGTGTAGGTTGATGTTATTTGTTGTTATCGGAGATGAGAAGCTGAGGGTCAGAGCCAGTGAACTTGCCAGATGTTATCCAGCTAGAAAGGAGTAGACCTGGTTTGTGGGATTCCAGAGTCCACTTGTATTCCAGCCTTCGCCTACTCTCCATCAAACCCCCTCATGAAAACAACAGCAGAAGCACACCTTGGGGACAGTCATGTCCTTCCTGTGGCAGTTCACCTACAGGTCAGCTTCTGAGGCTGTGTGTGTTACTGCCTGGCTTCCAGGTCACCTGTCAGGTTCTTCATGGCTTAGCTAAATGAATACCTGCCACCCTTTGCTCCCAGAGACACCCTGGAGGTAGTCTTGAATTTCAGCTGCTACTGTGACTCCTCCTGGGAAAGGCCTTTCTGTCAGGAGGCTTGCCAGACCTGGCGTGTGCTCCCTACGTGTTTGGCTCGCTGTGGTTTATCAGAGATCTTTGTTTTCAATCATAATATTTCACATTTCTTTTTCTTTCCACACTGGTCAGCATGAGCCAGCTAGAGGTGGTAGAAAATCTTCTTTTAATTTCCACTGTGATGGATTAGTAGCTCACTTAAAATGCTGCTTAATTTGTACACGTGCCCTGAGGCTTTTAAATACAATGCTCATTTGATTATTGTTGGAAATCAATTTGGATGTCACACAACGCTCAAAGAGTTGGACGCCTGCAGCCTGTGGACACTGTGGCTCCATTAGCAGGGAGCAAATTCCAAAAAGTAAGATGTGCTGAGTTCTGTTATATTTAAATTTATAGATTATATTTATATAATTACATAAATTATATTTCTGATTAACTCAAAGAAGTGACATTTAAAAATCTCCTAAATGGGAAGAAGAACACTAGGTGATTGTTTTTTGGTGCTGGGACTCATCTTTTTTCTCAAACTTGGCCTGCTCTCTCCTTATCAGACACACTGACTGCCTCCCCTCCTGGTTCCTCCTGGCTCCCCCTGGCTTCTCCTGGCTCCTCCTGGCTCCTCCTGGTCTGTGTCTCTCCTGGTCCCTCCTGGTTCCTCATTTGCCCCTATTCCTCCTAGGTCTTTCTAACTTATCTTGGGCTAGTTGAACAAGATGCATTTCCAAGGCTTCTCTATTTTTTCCTCCAGAGGAAGGAGTCCCTTCTTTAGTATGCTCATGAATTCATATTAAATAGCAAGAGTGTCAGAACGGGTCTGCTACGGCCAATTAACTAATGCCTGTGGACCAGCCTTCCAGGGTTTTCCAGCACCAGGTATCCTGGACCATTGCTCACATGATAGCTTTTTCTCCTGGCTTTTTTTTTAAAATATAAAGACAGGGTCTCACTATGTAGCCCTGACTGGGGGCCTGGAACTCACTGTGTAGACCAGGTTAGCCTCAAACTCAAAGAGATCTGCCTGCCTCTGCCTTCTGAGTGCTGGGATTAAAGGTGTATATGACCATACTTTATCTTGTTTTTTTAAGTTCAGAGTCTTGATGAGGTCCATCAAGAGGTCTATCTTTGTGACATTTCAACATTTGATACACACTGCAAATACATATTCTACAGAAGGAACTGTGCGTAAGTTTTGGGATTCAGAGCATAACCAGAAACCTTTGCCCGTGTACTTTTTTTTATTTTTTAGGCTTTCTTCTATAGAAGAGAGATGAGAAAAGAAATAATTCTCCAGGGAAATACATAATTGAGAAGCTGTCTGCAGGCATAAGAAAACAGAGTCTAGCTCCCTGTAAAGGGCGAGAGGCACCCAGCCATTGTTTCCCTTTCTCCCGTGGTGTTTGTGTAAGACTCTTGCATCTGTGCTCCCGTTCTCTGCTGGGAAACTAAGGCCATGGACTGCAGAAGTAATTGGTTTAGGACAGCTAGGCATGGTGGTGCACACTGGAATTCCAGCCCTAGGGAGCTGGGGCAGGAGGATCCTGAGGTCCAGGCTAGCCTGGACTATGAAACCCTGTCTCAAAAATAAATCTAAACCAGCATTGGAAAGATGGCTCAGCTGTTAAGACCACTGGCTGCTCTTGCAGAGGACCCAGGTTGCTAACAGACTCCAGGTTCAGGGGATCTGATGCCCTCTCCTGTTCTCTGCAGGCACTGCACAACACGAGTGCACTTACATATATGCAGGCAATACACTCATACACATAAAATATTAACAAAATAATAAGTAAAATATTTAAGAAAAAAAACCCTAAACCATACCAAACAAAAAGAGCCCATACACCCACCCTGCAAACAAACAATGCAGAAGAATCTGGCCTAGGGCTTGAGGGTGGGCATGCTCACTCCCTCCTGCCTTCTCTCTTGGAGATTCATTCCTTGCTAACAGCAAAACGGGACTATTGGAGAGATTGAGGGTATATCAGGAAAGTCCAAGGGAAGGGGGTAGTAACCTGACTTTACCAGCCCTTGGCACCCAAAGGCCTTGCTCACCACAGGCTGATTTGTCTATTGACCTCACCCTCTCCCCAGAATCTGCCAGGGTGTGATGAAGGGGCTCTGGATCTAGGGCTAGCATGTGTCCTATTTTGCCTAGGCCTAACTGCAAGGCACAGCTAAGGGCATCATATCCCACCTCCATCTCCTTCCAGTATTTCTGTGTTGTCATTGCAACCTAGTTCCTCATCTTGAACGGATAGGAGACTGAGCAGGGATGACATGTCCTGGTCCCTGCAGGTCTAAATCATGTCAATAATCAGACAGGGCACACATGTGTGACATGTATATTAGATATGGAACCTAGGTGGCTCAAGGTTACTGAAGAGACATGTTCTCACTATGGGATAAGAAGTAGTGACCATTCTTTCATCATAGTGCTTGGGCAGTGGTGTTGGCTTCTCAGAAAGGTGCAGAGTCCAAATGTGATGGCTTTGGTGGGAAGGATGCAAAGGGAGGTAGTGTGGGCCCCTCCCTTGAAGAGTGGTTCCAGTGGATTTACAGGAAAAAGACTATGATTTACAGGCTTTCTCTTAAATGTCCAGATGGTCCCCAGACAATCCAGCAAGGAAGAGCTGATTTTATTTGTCTTCCTCCCCCATTTCTCTAAATAGTTTAATCTTCAAAGCATGATGCAGGTGTTAATTAACACTCGTGGATCTCCTGGGAGGTAGGCAAGTGGGAATGCCTCTCCCATTTTGGTGAAGTCCAGGGACTAGACAGGTGCCAGAGCCTCAGGTAGGTGAGCCACAGGGGCACAGTGAGTCTCAGACCTTGGACTCAGTCATTCACTTAGTTATCCTGGGAGCCCCCCCACCCCTGCTCCCTGGTGTCCTTCATTATAAAAAGAGTTGAGATTATGTGGTAAGAAAGCTGTTTAGTATAATGCAAGGAGTAATGGGAGATTTGAAAATTGGGAAATTGTGGTAAAATTCACTGTTGTGATTTTCAAATGCAGGAGTCTGGTTATATCTTTGATTTCATGCATTTATTTAAAAAAATACTGGGCATCTGTGTCTGAGCAAGGTGTTGCAAGGGGAATCAGATCTTCCAAACGAACTGGCTACCTCTTAGGGTTACTTAAATGGGAAGTTGGCCCTCTGCCCCCCCATGTGTAATCCAGCAGAGGTGCTGTGTGGTGTGCCGCTCTGCAGGCAGTGGCTTCAGGTGTTGTATTCTTAGCATCTGGAAATGGACAAGAGTCAAAGAGGACTCTCATGGATGCAGTGAATCCCTAGAAGCTGATCTGTCACTACTCACCTTGATTGAATCAGGGATGGGGATTCCTAAGGGATCTTCTCCCTGGGGCTGTGCATAGGCCATCTTTAGTTAGTTCTGGTCTTTGCCCATGGGTGGTGATGATGCCCGTTTGCTAGGTCCTTGGGTGATCCCTGAAAATGCTATATTCATACTGAGTTTTCAGCTCTATCTAACAAAGCAGCAAGACTGGAATGATTTCTTGGGTCTCATGTGAAGGAATAGAGGTGAGGAGGCCTTTATGCCGCTGGTGTTGACTGCTCTCTGCATGACACTTGGTCTCTTATAGGAAGCTTTGCTCCATTAGCTAATGGTATTTCCCTTACTTTGGCACTGCAGGCTTCTGAGAACCAGCTCTAGACCTCTGCTTGAGGAGCCTTCCTCTGAAGACATCACCAGTGTGTGGAGCCTGCCCCACACCCACCCCCTGCCAAACCACGGCCTTTACCTGTGTCTTTCGGTGTTTCCCGTGTGACCCATCCTGTGGGAGTGCCTCGTGGGCTGCCCCAGAGTTCACGCCACACTCAGCACCAATGGTGAAGATGACAAGATCCAAGACTTTCCAGGCATATCTGCCCTCCTGCCACCGGACCTACAGCTGCATTCACTGCAGAGCTCACTTGGCCAACCATGATGAACTCATTTCCAAGGTACATGCTTCCTCTGGGACTTTCTTGCCTACCCCGAGGGAGGGCACTTACTGTTCCTGGAGTCACAAGTTTACAAGCTCTTCCAGGCTGGGAAGAGCTCTCTTTTATACAGGGACTAGACTGTCGGCTCAACTGAGAATGAACTCTGAGTTGCAGTGACAAAGTAGTGGTTTAGTGTGTTACCTTGGAAGTTTGATGTCAACACTGCTGGAGGTTTTGGAGGCTGGCAACTTGCAGACTAGGGGAAGACGGGAGTAAGGAATAAGAGCCTTATGTTTGCTTATTCGGTTTAGCTTGGTAGATGAAAACTATTCTGCTTAGTGAATTTGAAGAGTTGAGAAGGAGAGTCTTACACAGGGTGCTCTGTTTCATTTTGTACCTTGGATTGAACATTGAACCCAGGGTCTCTTGCATGCTAGGCAAGAGCTCTACCACTGAGCCATAGTGCCAACCCCATTGCTGGCACTATGTTAGCTGAGATGAGAGAGCCCCTGGCAAGCCTCAAGAAAAGCTCTGAGGCTGTGGCATTATGAAAACGAAAAGTGGCCTGTTGAAGAGCTGAGCCACTGGCCTGTGGGGACCTTTATACATGAAGTAATGGGGTGACATGATCAGAATTGGAAGAATGGAAACCTGTTTACCCAGAGGGGCCTTGGCAACTGCTTCTGAAGTTGGAGCTAGGGGTTATTAATAAATATACCCAACATCCCAATTGTGTAATAAAGGAACTGGATCCTTCAGGCAGGATTCCCAGGAGACCTACCTCCCTCCTGTCCCTAGATTCCCAGGGGAAGAAAAACAGGTTTTACTAGGCTAGATGACAAAGAAAAAGAGGTCGTGGGAGACTTTTCCCTTAAACAGCATCTTTCCTCAGAACCTAGACTTCATGCAATTAAAGGATAAACAGACATTAATGCAGACCCATACTAAGTTAGTAAAAAACTAGTATTCCTGACCTGTTTACAAGAACTGCTGGGAAAGGTGGCCTTACCTTCTTTGCCCCTGGTTGGGTAGCCTCAGCATAATAGGAGTGAGGGCTCTGGTCAGCAGCTACAGAGGTGTTCTCCAGCTAGCTGATTTGATGTGGGACATGAAGAAGGTTGCCTAAACAACCAAGTCTCTGGTAGTAGATTCTGAAATAAGGCCCTAGGACTGAATCCTGTGCTCTAGGTCTATTCCAAAGTACTTAGTCACTTACAAGCTTGAGTCCAAGATGTCTAGAGTCCTCAGAGTCCTGGATGGACTTTCAGTCTGCCCTACTTCTCTGCATTTCTTAACATTGTTCTTTGTTACATTTTTAAAAATTTATTTTAATTTTTAAAATTAATTATTTTTTTGGTCATTTTGAGACAGGGTCTCCCTGTAGCTCCAGCTGACCTGGAACTCACTATGTAGACTAGGCTGGCCTCGAACTCACAGAGATTCAACTGCCTCTGCCTCCGAGTGCTGGGATTAAAGAGGCAGAGGCAGGCGGATCTCTGTGAGTTCAAGGCCAGCCTGGTCTACATAGTGAGTTCTAGGACAGCTGGAGCTACAGGGAGACCCTGCTTCAAATGACCAAAAAAAAATTTTTTTTTAAATTTATTATTTGTATTTTATGTGTATGAATGTATTGCCTGCATGTATATAAGTATACCCATGTCATGCCTGGAGAGGTCAGAAGAGGGTGTTGGATTTCCTGGAACTGGAGTTATGGATGATTGTTAGCTGCCATGTGGATGCTGAGACTCGAACCTGGGACTTCTGCAAGAGCAGCCAGTGTTCTTAACTGCTGAGCCATCTCTCTAGCCCATTTTATTTATTTTTTTATTTTATGTGTATAAGTGTTCTGCTTGCATGTAAGTGTATCACATGGGTGCAGTGCTTGCAGAGGTCAGAAGAGGGTGTTGGATCCCCTGGAACTGGAGTTACAGATGGTTGTTAGCCACTGTGTAGGAGCTGGAAACTGAAGCCAGGTCTTCTGTTGGAGCAGCCAGTGCTCTTAACTGCTGAGCCATCTCATCAGCCCCCTCTTTATGTTATTTAGAAAACACCTAACCTCTAGCTTCCTTCTATATCAGCTAAGGTATCTCATCTCAGATTCCCTTTGAATTTTGGGGTAACCCCTTGTCTGGAAATTTGGATGTAGGAGGCATGTGTCACTGAGAGGAATAGCCAGGGCGTGGGACATGGGTCTGCAAACTTGGATGGGAGTTGTGAGCTGTTTCTCTTACCCACACTTTTTTAAAAATAAGTGTTTGTTGCCGGGCATGGTGGCGCACGCCTGCAGTCCCAGCACTTGGGAGGCAGAGGCAGGCAGATCTCTGTGAGTTCAAGGCCAGCCTGGTCTACATAGTGAGTTCCAGGGCAGCTGGGGCTACAGGAATACCCTGCTTCAAAAAGACCAAAAACAAAAATAAGTGTTTGTAAATAGGGAAGGAGACATCATTTTAACATAAGATGTCGGGGTTGGGGATTTAGCTCAGTGGTAGAGCGCTTGCCTAGCAAATGCAAGGCCCTGGGTTTGGTCCTCAGCTCCCGGGGTGGGGTGGGGGGGGATAAAATAACAAAAAAAGACCAAAAAAAAAAAAAACCCAAGGCAATTAACATAAGATATGATGTGTGGCATAATAAATCAAGAAATAAAGTGAATTTTACCTGACACTATAAAACACTATTCTACTAGCTCTCAAGAAGTGTTTTGTTTTTGTTTTTTGAGACGGGTCTTCTCTGTAGCCCAGCTGGCCTGAAACTCGCTATGACCAGACTGGCCTTGAACTCAAAGAGATCTGCCTGCATCTGCCTCTGCCTCCTGAGTGTTGGAATTAAAGATGTGCACCACCACACCTGGCCAAGAAGTCTTTTTTTTTTTTTAATATTTTATTATTTTTATGTGTACGAGTGTATTGCCTGCATCTATGTAAGTATACCCGTGTCATGCAATGCCCTTGGAGATCAGAAGAAGGCATCAGGTTCCCTGGAACTGGAATTACAGAGTTGTTAGCCACCATGTGGATGCTAAGAATTGAACTCTGGTCCTCTGCAGGAGCAGTCAGTGCTCTTAACTGCTGAGCCATCTCTTGATCTCCTTAAGAAGTCTTTAAGGTGGGTTTTTAGTTATAGTTTATACTAATGGAGAAACTGAGACTAAAAAAAATAAAAATTGTCCCTGATCTCAAATTGGAGTTGCAGAGTAGAGAGAGTGATTGTTGTGAGCAGGTGTTCAGGAAAGATTTCTGGAAGGAGTTGTTATTTGAGCTGTGCCTAAAAGGATGGGTACAAGTTGGATATGTCAAGCTGATAATGCCTTCCGGGTTATATCTGATCTATTTAGCCAGGTGTATAGGGCCTTTGATCTGCCAGTTCCTTGTTTTGTTTCTGAGCCGCATTTCCTGAATATAGGGGTATCTCAAGCCTGTGCCAAAGCATCCCTTTTACCACCTCTCATGAACTCTTCCATTTCCTTGGATTATATTCTATTTGCTTTTGTCTCCAGATCAGAACTTGCTTGACCTATGACAAAAGCTTAGTAAATGATCAAATAATTGGACAGATGGAGCTTGAGCCTTGGTAGAAGATGAAGAATAAGTAAAAAAGACTTTGTTGACTTCATGTCCTTCTTCCTTCCCCTTTTGGGGCAGGAAAGCTCCCTCACAAGCCTAGGCCAAAGTCAGCACAGTCTTTGATTTCATTGGCCACAGCCAGTGCACAGATGGGGTGCATTAGAGCTGGATGATTTAAAGAGTTGGGTGAAATGCCTGACTGGGGAAAGAGTGAGGGAACTGTGGCTGGCATTGTACAAAGGTTCCTTTATTTTGCTCCACCGCCACCCCCGGCATTAAATAATCTATACATTCCATTATGCAGGTCCACTTAATGGAAAGATCATTGCTTTGGCCCCTCCTTGGAAAATGGGCCTTTCTTTTCACCTCCCCCCCAACTTCCATCTAAGAGAGTTCAAGGAGAGAATATCCCTCCTGTTCTCCCTCTTGACTTAATCTCCTGTGCGGTTTCAGAATTCGCCCAGTGGGAGTTAAGAGCTGGGCAGCAGATAGCTGGGGCTGGGGCAGCACTGCAATTAAACGAGACTCTGTACTTGTAATAGGGTCTTTAGTCAGAAAGCTTGACATTTGTTTTTGGGGAAAAGTGAGTATGCCTTCATTATGGAGAGAGGGATGTGCAGGGCTGGAGAGCTGTTGCCAGCACAGTGTGTGGCCAGCAGAGGAGTGGTACTGGACTTTGGCTGCCTTCCTGTCAGTGTGGCTAGGCCTTCATGGAAATGTGGAGTTATGAAGCTTTACACAGAGTATACCGATTCAGTGGTGGAGAGCTCTATACTAGCCTTTCTTCCTTCCCTGCTCACGTTACGTACCCAGAGACTAAGCTGCTAGCAGCCAGCTGTCCAACCTGTGAGCCTCAGTTTCTTGCTCATAAAATGGGCAAAATGATATCCACTGTGTTTGGTGTCTAAGACCACTGAGGGTGCTATAACAATACACCATCAACTGAGCTGTGTTAAAACAAACAGCATTATTTCTTATGCTTCTGGAGGCTGGAAAATCCTCCAGAAATTTGGCAAATTTAATGTCTGGCGAAGGATCAATTTACAGACGGCTTATTACTGTGCGGCCTTACATAAGGCAAGGGGTGAAGGATCTTTTTCTGGCTGGCCTGCCCATCCATCCATCCATCCATCCATCCATCCATCTATCTATCCATCTATCCATCCACTCACCCACAGGCTTGCTATGTTGCCCAGTATGGCCTTAAACTCCTGGGTTTAAGAGATCTCCCTGCTTCCCAGGCAAAGGCAGATGGATCTCAGTGAGGTCAGCCTGGTACAGATAGCGAGTTCCAGGCCAGCCAAGGCTACTTATTGAGACCCTGTGTCCAAATCCAATGTTTGGCCAACACAGCAGGCTTCCCCTTTGATCTCTAAAGAGGACAGTCCTGCTCTCCCACTCCCCCCATAAAAAAAAAAAAAAAAAAAAAAATCTTCCTGGATTAATCTCCCACTCCCA